CACAAAAATTACCAAAGGGCACATTATGCTGTTCTCAGCCCTCCATGCACTCCAGCTGAGACAGCGCGGCTTCTCAAAGGGTGTGCCCCACTCCATGATGCCTGCTGCGTGTTGCTGGCAGCAGCCCACAGGCAACATGCCCAAGTCAGGCAAGCTCACCTCAGAGTCACAACATTCTGCCCAGCCAATTCAGAGCCCTGTGAGCTGTGGAATGATGATCCTGAGCCCACTGGGTTATTCCACTGGCTACACTGCAGGTGTCACCAGTCATCACCTGGGGCATGGCTGAGAAAGCAGCTGGCACCTCCTCAGGTGGCTGAGATGAGGAAGTGTGTCCTAGATGCCATACAAGTCCATGAAGAGGTTCACCCATGATATGGACAGAAATTCAAAGCCTGCTCAAAGACCTGGTGCAGGAACCCAGTGAGAAAGGCACCACCTGGCTGTGCTGTGTGTACCTGACAGAAAGTACTTTGCAACTCACAGGTTGAGAAATACAAATACAACAGCCAGTGGCTGTCTTCAAAGATGATAAGATTAACCTTATTTCAGAAACCTGTGAGCTTATCCAGGCATAGAATGTTGCGGGTAGACATGGCTGTCCCTGCATTCTGCTGTAGTGGCTATTTGGGCCTGACGAATAGCACCCCCAGCATGAGCCTCTTTTCATCAAGGGCTGAAGGTGGCTGGTGTACACTTGAGGAGGAAAGGGAGTTACTGTGGCACTTAGGCATGCTCCAGTGAGTTTGCACAGCCACCTCTGCCATGGGACAGGGGCACAAGAGGGAGAGCCTGGAACAGGCCACCTTGCATTCAGACGCCTTACAGATGTTTTAAAGGGGAGCCCATCATAGGCCAAATGAACTCTCCTGGCTCTGATGGCCACAGCTCCTGAAGTTAATTGAGCTCTGCAGGTCCTCACCACCCTGGAAAATGCTGAGACAGAACCAACCAAAAGAGTGTTCGCAGCAGCACCTGCCCCACTACCCACCAACCAGGGCCTGGCAGCCAGAGGTCTCACACTGGGCTCTGCTCTCCCTGACTTCCCCATACCAATCACCCACAAGATGTGGGCCAGTCCAGCTGTTCACAAGGGTAGAGTGACCTCTACTGGCAGTTATGCTGAAGGGTGCTCCCAAATTGGCTCCTGTCTGGCAAGCCTCATGAATTCCTGCAAACCCTCCTTAATCCTAATGCAGCCCAACCTTCCACCCACCGAACCACCACTCATCTGGATGGCTGAGCTGATCAGCTTCTACCTCCTGGAAGATGCCTTCGCTACTAACATTCCTGCCCTGTGCTCAGGATGACCCAAAGACTGTCCCACCCACCCTGCCTATATCCCTCCCTGGCAAGACTTTTACTTGTATATTTGCCTAGGGGTCTCTTGGGCCACCTCCGCCACTTTCTGCAGCCAATGCCTCCTAGAGACACTTGGTGCCCCAGTTCTGCCTGACAGCCATCTGGAGTGGACAACACCCCAAACTTTGGCTTCATCGGGCCATATTCAAGATCACAATTTTGGATCTTTGACAGCACCTCAACACACACAGTGTCCCCAGACCTTACTACTTAGTTCTGTGTCCTCCTTATCCTTCTGCTCCATTTTCACCTGCCATCACTCTGCAATCAAGCAACTCCAAGCCTGCTACCACTGCGTCCATTCGACTCCTTTTACCTGTTCATGTGATCAGGCCCAGGTTCATGTGACCAGCCCCAGCGTGCCCAGGTTCTTTTGCTGCTACTCCAGGTGGCCTGACTTTCCACATCCAGTGGTGGCTGTGGAAATTCTCCAGACCAATTTCTTGGAACTGAGGTCACTGACAGCCTCCACCACATTTTGGCCACCCACTGAGCAGCCAACCTTCCAGCCTGCTGTGCATGCACTCGCTGGCCTTCTGCCACACATCCATTACGTCTGGTCCAGACTTGGTCGCTACGCTACCTGTCCTCCACTCTTCCCTCACCATTGGTGAGTCTGCGTCAAAGCCACAGCTGAACCCCTTTCTCATGATCTCCCCTAATTGCTCAGCTGGACAGTAGACCTACTCTATCCTCTCTGTGATGATGCAGTTCAATTCCAGACTGTTCCAAGGGCGCCAGTGACTCCTCCTCACCGTCCTACAGAAGATCCATTTCTCAAGATTTGACTGACCATAGAGTGCACTTTCAAGCTCAGGCAGCCTCTCAGTTATTGACCCCCTCAGGGTTGGGCTGGAGTGTGGTATACCAAGACATATATCGTGGCTATAAGATTAATGATAGGCATAAGGTCACTCAAGCAACTCACAGGGTCAGTCTTATCTGTCACTTAGCAGTAGGAAGCAACCTGGCCTGGGGATTTCCAACTCGATTTCCAGGAGACCAGGTCACCTCAGCACAGAGGCAACTTTCACAAACCTTAGAAAAAAGCTTACCCTTACAAGAATAGCTTAATCTCCCTTTGTGAACAAAACACCTGGTAACTGACCTGGATTGCATACAGGTATAAGAGAGGAGGAAGGATCCCGCAAACTCTGAGATTGGTCTCTAGATGAAAACCTTCCTGGTCTGTCAGTCATCTGACTCGTGACTAAATCTGGCCCATGACACTGTCCTACTCCCACTATCTTTCTGGTAACAGCACTGCCAGAATAAAACACATGAGCATCAGACAGTGCACAAGACTTAACTGTGATGCAAAGTGAACTCAAGGGGAGAGGCCTCCTGGGGAAGCTGGTTAACTAGGACCACCCAAAACGCCTGAACACAACAGGGTGGAATCCACTGACATCATGGAAGAGGGGGCTTTGTCACTGCTGGGCCATGGTGAAAGTCCTGATTCTCCGTGAGGCCTCCTGTGACATTGCCAGTAGGGAGGCAAAGGGTGCCTCGTGACAGGCTGTGGGGACGGAATCTAGGTTGGCATAGGTGTGGGTGGGGTGAACAGATTATTCTGTGGTGTTCTGATGGAATGGAGTGGTTGAGGTCTAAGAGTTTTCTATCTTCCTAGGCTGCTCCTTTCCTGTCCCTGTGACTAGAGAGAAAACAGGATTTTCTGAGGGCTTTTAATTTTATTTACTTATTTATTTATTTGCCTGTGTCTGCTGCTATTTCCAGGCTGGGTGGCTTCTTCAGCTCTCAGGCTTGGATACAGGAAGCAAAAAAAAAACCTAGGGGAACTCACCCTGTGCTGCTTTTCAGGTCCAGCATCCCTAGCGGGCTGCCTTCTTTCCACCTTTCAGAGTCTTCTAATTTTATTTTATATGGAATGGATTTTTAGTTTTATTAGCAGGGGGAATAGAGAAAAGTATGTTTATCTTCTCAGAAGTAGAAATATTTTATTTAAAAAATTTGTTTATTTACCTGAAGGGTCTTTCACCTCCTGTGGTGGTTGCTATTCTGAGTAGAGAACTTTTTTTAATGTTTTGTTTAATTAATATTTATTTATTGTACTTTAGGTTCTGGGGTACATGTGCAGATCATGCAGGATTGTTGCATAGGTACATACATGGCAAGGTAGTTTGCTGCCTTCCTCCCCCCATCACCTATATCTGGCATTTCTCCCCTTGTTGTTTCTCCCCACCCTCCCCACCCCCCCCACTGTCCCTCCCCTAGCCACCCCACAACTGACCACAGTGTGTGATACTCCCCTCCCTGTGTCCACACGTTCTAGTTGTTCAACACCCGCCTACGAGTGATAACATGCGGTGTTTGGTTTTCTGTTCTTGTGTCAGTTTGCTGGTTTCCAGAGAACATTTTTGTGTTGGAAAGCCCTGGTCCTGCGGCACTGTGGGCATGGAGAGGACAGACCAATCTTTAGAACAGTGTCTTCTTCCTGAACCCTGCAGGCACTTCACTGTCTTTAGCATGGAGGCCTTTGCATGGACTGCTCCCCCTGCCTGCAACACCTTCCTCTCTACCTTGTCCACTGCCTAAGCCTTAGTTATTCTTCAGTTTTCAACTGAAAACATTACTTATTTAAAGAGACTTTTCCTATTACCTGGATATGTTTCCATTCCCTTCTGATAAATGTTTCTAGAGCACCTTGTACTTTTTTTTATCTCCATTATCAAACTTTATTGCAGTTATTTATTTAATGTCCATTCTACTGAATAGCCTATAATCTGATGAAGGAGGGGATGATGACCTTGTTGTTCTGCCATGTATGAAATGTCTGGGGCCTACTTATGTGCCCAGGACAAAGCAAGACATTAAGCAACTTTAGCTTGAATGTTAACTAATAATGTAGTTGGACTCATAAATATCCTATTGTCTAATCACCCCAAGTGTTCTCTGAAATTTCCCTGGCCACTTGGGCTACTCCTTTGGGATCCTAGACCTCCCCTTGACCTAGAAATTTAAAGGCTAATATTGAGCAAAGCGGAAGTCCTTCAGGATCTTATTTCACTCCTAAGGCTTGTGGCCATCCTGGTTGGTTGTTTTCTCTATCATGGATTTGGTAACTCTATATCAAAGCAAAGGTTGCAGTTATCTAATTGAATTTTAAATCTATTTCTGCATGTTTTGATCAGTCTTTTTTAAATCATATTTTTCATTCTAGTTTCATCCTTGGGGAATGTCAAATGGGTTTCATTCTCCTTTCCAGTCACACAGCAGTATTTATTCACAGTTTTGTTTTGAGAGGATTTTGAAATGATCAAAACACAAAGGAGTGCTGTGATTTATAGATATCTGCAAGAGCAATGCTAAGAGGGGTGGTATCATTCTTGATTTATACATTCATATAGGTGATCCCATTGTCTCAGGCCTCTCTGTCTTCTCTGTGTTTGATTGCCCTATTCGAGGCTACCTGCAGAAATAGATGGATGCTTGAGACCAAGGAGCAGAAACTTCCAAGTTCTAATGACTTCTTTTCCAGTGACAAGGCTATCGTGACTAAAATGATGATTTTCAGAAGGAGGCTGAATACTTTAAATCATCATCCCGATGAAATGACTTTGAAACACTTCAGTTTGGATTTGAGATTGCTAATTGCTGACTTTGCATTGTTTTTGCAGGCAGCACTCAGCATATTTGGTATGGTTGGCGGACCACTTACGGGCTTGTTTGCTTTGGGCATTTTGGTTCCCTTTGCCAACTCAATTGTAAGTATGAAGAATGAATATGTGTGAAGATTACTCTTCCAGCTACACTAACAGCTCCAAAGTTTTTTCTCAGTGTAAAGATGTGGTTCCTTTGAGATTTGTCATTGGTTACTTGTCTTGATGACTTAAAGTATTTCTGTTGGCTTTGGTGGAGTATACAATGAAGTACTATGTATGGGGGCTCTGTGTGTGTGAAGCTCAATGGAAACTTCCAGAACCTTAGAGGGAAATTTTAAATATTCCTAATATAACTAAAGGAGCAACATTTTTTGTGCACTTATCTACTTGCTCTTCTCAAAAATTAGTAGCTAGGATTCAAAAGAGATCAATGGGCTCAGATAGGAGAGATTTAAGGGCAGTAAAACTTAGGATTTCTGTGAATAGCCATAGCACAGCAAAGAGAAGCAATACAATCTTACCACCTTGGCCAGGAATTTTCTACTCCTGACATTTAAAACTATAGTTCCTGCAACATGATTTAGCTCCCAAGGGGTGATCACAATTGGGAATATTTTCCAGAAAGACCCAACATCTCTGTCCTTCTACCTAGACGTATCTGTGCTTAGAAGTACTAACATTTGTTTGGAATAAATGAACTAGAAATTATTTCTCTGAAACCCAGAAGAAAGTCCATCGGTTCAGTCTGGCTATAACTACATCTTATATGTAGTTCAGGAAAAGCTGATAATGTATGTATAGTTGCTTCGGATATAGGGTAGCCATAGAACTATGACTTCACATTCAGGATTCTATTTTCTATATAACGCAGTAGGAATTGGTAAGGCAGATACTAATAAGGACTAAGATATTAATGAGTAGGATTTGGTAAGGCAGATATTAATAAGGATTAACTAAGGCAGATATTACTAAGGACTGGTTATTATTACTTATTATCCTCAATGAGATGTCATATGAAAAGCTACTTTGGTAGGAATTAATCACAATGAAAGAGTTTTGTTTGTGGCCACCTCAGAATGTTGAAGCTTGGATTAGATTCTTTTCATGATGAAATGCATAATAAATTATTATCAGAAAAATATATTTAAAAATCAACTTTTGATATTTGACATTTGTTGCCGGCATGCATGTAGCGGACTAAGCTAACATGCCCTTTTCTAGGGGCAGTAACTGGAGAATAACATTATTCTTCCTGCCATAAATAGTATCTTTTTTTTTAAGCATGGCTGTCCAAGGTTTTCACCAGTGGATTATCTGCTTTTCTTCAAAGTGGCCTTTTTCATTCCTTTTTTCCTCCCTGCCTCACTACCTTTCATTCATTTATCCACTTGCTCATTTATTCAATAGATTTTTATGGGCTGAGCACTGTCTTGGGAGGAAGGAGGACTGAATGTTTCTGCCCTTGTGGGTTTTATAATTTTGTGCCATGTTGAACTTGGCTTTCTAATGCTAATTTTAACATCGAAGCAAACTGTATTGTTTTTCTTTTAATAGCATTCTTGTTTTACAGGGAGCACTTGTTGGTCTGATGGCTGGATTTGTCATTTCTCTATGGGTGGGAATTGGAGCTCAAATATATCCTCCGCTTCCTGAGAGAATGATGCCATTGCACCTTGACATCTACGGCTGTAACAGCACATACAATGAGACAAATTTGATGACAACCACAGAAAGACCATTTACTACTAGTGTTTTTCAAACACACAATGTTCAAAGGTATTGAATTGTTTTATTACGTTATACTTTTAAAAGCTTATGCAACAACTAGAGCACTCCAGTTGCTTTTTGCCTTGCCTACAACATCGGGATTTTGCCTAATTCTGAAATGAGTAAAACCCATGTGGCTTTCTATAATATTTTCTGCAACAGTAGCAAAACTGTCCTATTTTTGTAATTTCTATAGAAATTTCTGCCTTGCCTACAGATCTAAGAAAACTTAAATATTGATGAGAAAATTCTATTATATGTAAACTCTCCTAAACACCAGCTCTTAACAGCATGAAGAATTATCTTTGTCTTGGAAAAATTTTTTTAATGAAAAGCACAATTATAAAAGAAATATTTCTTATATAGTCTTTGAAGGACAGATTTTATTGACCAAAAGCTACAATTATTCAAACATCTTAAATAATTGCCATTTGTTCAGTGGAAGGTTCCAAATCTTTGAAGCATTAGCAGTGATTCCAGCTGTGATCTTCATGCTAGAGATTTCAGTCATGCAGTACACTTTGGAGCCTCTTGATGCTGAAGTTGTCTGATTTACTGTAATGATATAGGCCTGTGGGTAGAGGCATGCTTTACTGTATAGTGAATGTGAGGGCAAAACTTTCTTTAGTGGATATATAAATGTCCAGCCTTAAAGCACAAACCCCGTGGATATGTTCAAGGAATGTAAAGTTGAGGCCATTGCCCCCAAAGTATTGCCCCAGTGCCAGTTTATCTGGAATGACATCATTATAGAGTCGACCCTTTTGGGTCAAGGCATGGCATACCCTCTTAAAATCTTAAAATGGACACACTCCTGGGAGAAGGAACATGATCATACATATAGCCATTATTAGTAATTAGTGTTCTGGAGGGGATTCAGCTATGAGAAATCTAGCCAGTGGGACTTCCAGGAGCGTTCCAGGAAGGTAAGTGTATGGTAGAGTGGAAAGTTAGTTCCAGAGCCTGAGGCATATCTGAGGGAAGTTTTATTAGGTGAGGTGCTGTGGAGAGAGGGGCAAAGATATGTGAGGAGCATCTGGACGGGCATCAAAGCATTAAGCGGAGGGGCTGGGAGAGACATTAGAAAGTCAGAAAGGGAGAAAAGATTAACTGAAGGTTAAGTGGGAGGACATATAGGATGTACTTCTTGTTTTACAATTTTGCTTAGCATTTTCCTAATTATGTAAATATTTGCCCTTAGGAGTCTAAGGCAAAATGGTTATTTGGATTCCTGAAAAAAATAAATTAGCTGAAGTTTATTGTATGCCTGGTACCATAATAATCACTTTTATATGTTAGTTTATTTACCAAATATTTCAGCTAATAAATGAGAATTTTTGAGCAAGGACTATGTACCCAGAACTGTGCTGGCCGTTTATTTAGTATCCATGGAAGAAAATCTTCCTCTCCTATCCACTGTTTCCTGCCTTCCAGAAAATTATATTTTAGCTAGAGAGATTGTGCAAATATACACAAGACAATGGACTCCGTAAGCATGCTAAGTATAAAAATTAGGGCATAGTAAATAAGAAATGCTTGATACATTATTGTTAAAAGAGTGAGTACAAAGTTGGAGTGTAAGCTAGCATGAAGACTTCAGAGATGTACTACTACTTCAAGAATGCACAGGTTTGGCTAGATGAAGGGGAAGGTCTGGAAAGTCATTCCTGTCACAGAAAATGACCAGAAGGGACACTGGACAAGAAATAAATTAAAACATGCATTGTGATCAGTAGTATTCACATGAGAGCCAGGAGGAGGAAGTCTGCCTGGCTGTAGTCAAGGAGGCCTAGGAGAATTTCCTGGGCTGGAGTTAATGAGGTGGCAGGATGGAGCACAGGGACACACAGAGGGAGGAGTGTGTGCTGCAGAATGAAGAAACCAAGGGGCAAAGGTATGAAGGGCTGAAGAATCAGTGCATCTTAGGAAATCACCCTAATTCCATATGGCTGGAGCACAAGGGTTTTGAGCCACCCAGCTGAAGGTTGAATGTATGATTCTTTGGTTGCCTGGATATAGATTGTTTTGAGTGCTTAGATTCAGTTTTGATTTTTTTAAGTTTCCAATATATGATGGTTACACATTGGTAGTTTGCTGTGGCTTTAATTTGTATTTCCCTTATGATTAATGAGGTTGAATACATTTTCATTTGTTCACTGGCCATTTGGATATCTACTTTTGTGACTTGGTTATTGAAGCCTTTGGTCCATTTGAAATGGATTCTCTGCCTTTTTCTTATTTATGTAGGAGTTCATGACATATTCTATATATGAGATATGGTTTGAAAATATTTTTCTCCCATTTCACAGGTTGCCTTTTCAATCTTTTAATGATACTTTTTTTGTTAGTCAAAATTTCTTAATTTTAATTAATTTCTGTTTCTCAGCTTTTTCCTATATGGTTAGTCCTTTATGTGTCTTGTTTAAGAAATCCTTGCCTACCCTGAAGTCATAAAGATATTCCTCTAATTTTTCATTTAAAAGCTTTATTGTTAATCATTACCATTTGGGAAGTGTAATCCACTTTGGAATTGATTTCTGTGGGTAATATGATCAAGATTATTTTTTCCCATATGAATATCCAGTTAACTAAACACTATTTATTGAAAAGACTCTCCTATTGCCCCATTGAATGCACCAGCAATGAAACTGATTTTAACCAATTAACTATTTTTCTGTGGGCCTATTTCTCAATTTTCTATTCTGTTCTATTTTGTCTGTCTTTGGCTCAATATCACACTCTCTCAGTTTCATTAGCCCACCTCAATGTGTGCCCCTTCTTTCTGGGCTCTTGAAACCTCAAGTTCTCATTGTTTTTGTTTTTGTTTGAGATAGATTCTTACTCTGTTGCCCAGGCTGGAGCTCACTGCAACCTCTGCCTCCTGGGTTCAAGAGATTTTTGTGCCTCGGCCTCCCAAATAGCTGGGATTAAAGGCATGAGCCATCACGCCTGACCAATTTTTGTATTTTTGGTAGAGATAGTGTTTTACTATGTTGGCCAGCCTGGTCTTGAACTCCTGACCTCAGGAGATCCACCTGCCTCAGCCTCCCGAAATGCTAGGATTATAGGTGTGAGCCATCACACCTGGCCAAGTTCTCATTGTCTTGATCTCTCTGATGTCTTCAAAAACCTGCCTCCCTCCCTATACCCCAGGTTATATATATTGTTCTCAGCAGAATGATTGGTCTAAATCAAGCAGATATCAAAACTGGAAGTGGAATCCTAGAGCAGTATTATAGAAATGATCATAGAATGATCATGTTACTCTTTCACTTAAAACATTGCAACGAGTGCCATTGCCTGTAGAGTAAAATTCCAACTCATGCCCAGTTCCACAAAAAGTCCCCTGCCTATCTTTCATCTTATAATCACTGTCTTGCTCACTGTGCCTCAGTCGGCTTATGTTTAGTCTCTGAGATGCTTTCCTCAAGAACATTTTGTTTCTCAGATCTTATTTCAAATGTCGTTTATTCTCAAAGGTTTCTCTGACCACTCGTTCCTCCCTCTCCACGCTGTTAATAGCACGTCATCTTGTTTTATTTTCCCTACAGCACTTTCTACTAGTGGAAATTATTATATTTAAATTTGTTTATTGTATTTATCTCTACATTAGAATGTAAACTTTTTGTGAGAAGGAATTGTATCTACCTTATTTTTAAAAAATAATTTAACTTTTATTTTAGATACCTGTGCAGGTTTCTTATCTGGGTAAATTGTAAGATGCTGAGGCTGGGAGTACATGGTCCTGTCATCCAGGAGGTGCTATACCCAATAGTTAATTTTTCAACTCTTGCCTCACTCCCTCCACCCTCTAAGAGTTCCCAGTGTCTATTGTTCCCTTCTTTGTGCCCACAAGTACCCAATGTTTAGCTCCCACTTACAAGTGAGAACATGTGGTATTTGGTTTTCTATTCTTGCATTAATTAGCTTAGATAATGGCCTCTAGCCACACCTGTGTTGCTGAAAAGGACATGATTTTGTTCTTTTTTATGGCTGCATAGTATTCCATGGTGTATGTGTGCCACCTTTTCTTTATCCAGTCTATCACTGACGGGCACCTAGGTTGATTCCATGTCTTTGCTATTGTAATAGTGTTGCAATGAACGTAGAAGTGCATGTGTCTTTTTGGTAGAACAATTTGGTTTCCTTTGGATATATACCTAGTAATGGGATTGCTGGGTCAAATGGTTTATCTGCCTTATTTATGGCCAACTCTCCAATCACAAGAGCAGTGCCTGGGACGTCATGCAGAATGGAATGAATAAACATGGCCCTCAGATATTTTAGTATATAGTCAGGGTGAGTTTTAGTTTCAATTCTTGACCCAATAAGAAAATTAGGACAGCAGATTATGACATTAAAATATTATTAAATATTATATTTTGACCTTGCCATGAGAATCACTGGTATATACTGGTAGTTACCAGCAGCATTACGTGAAATCTTACAGTTGTGCTTTTCCTTTCTTAGGACTCCACTGATGGATAACTGGTATTCCTTATCATATCTGTACTTCAGCACTGTTGGAACTTTGGTAACATTATTAGTGGGGATACTTGTCAGTTTATCAACAGGTAACTATCTAAATATTAGTATTATTAAATTTAACTTTATATCAGTTTTTACTGTATCTGTTTTATAGCTATTTATGTTATTTTACTATGATCCTATTGACAACTAGTTTATTTCTTCTGTTACTCATGGGAAATCTGAAGGCCTAGACTTGAAAGCAGAAGACTCTCTTTTTTTTTGAGACAGAGTCTTGGTCTGTAGGCCTGGCTGGAGTGCAGTGGCATGATCTCAGCTCACTGAAAACCTCTGTCCCTAGGGCTCAAGCAATTCTCCTGCCTCAGCCTCCCGAGTAGCTGGGACTACAGGTGTGTGCTACCACACTCGGCTAATTTTTGTATTTTTGGTAGAGATGGGGTTTCACCATGTTGGCCAGGCTGGTCTTGAATTCCTGACCTCAGGTAATCCACCCGCCTTGGCCTCTCAACAGAAAACTCATTTCTATTTAAATCTTGGTTCTGCCCTTTAGGGACTGCATGAACTTGGGCAAGTCACATAGCTACACTGAGCCTCAGCTTTCTTATGTGTAAAATGAGGACAATGATAATTGAACTCCCTATCTCACAAACTGCTGTAAGATAAAAATAAGATGCTTGAAAAAAAACCTTCATAGCTACTATGATGTTAGGGATTTTACACATATTTTTACAACAATCCTATATGCTATGATCTGCCCATTGCCTTGTATTCATTCTTTGTGAACTGTAAAGAAGCATACACAGGTTATATCTAAACACAGTGTGGAGGCTTTTCTAGATGTTCATCATTTTTAAAAAGTGTGTTTTTAAAAAATCAAATTAATACACACAGTATATAAATTGCTCTCTGGGATCGCTGTAGAACTGTTATCCTGGGACTCCGATTTGTCCTCATTCTGTGAATTCTCTAAGTCCCTGTTCCTGTGATGGGGTTTCTACTGCTTATATTCATTACTTCTCATTCCCATTTATTCCCTTAATTGAATGAAGCACATATCATATAGCATATTCTTGAGAAAGAGTAGACAAAAGAATGGGTTTTAAAAACTTTGCGTGCCTGAAAAAATTTTTTTTAATCTAATGCTTGATTGATTGTTTGAGTAGAAAATCCTAGGGTTGAAGAGAACTGTTCTTTTTTCTTAGAGGGAGTCTGAATTTCTTTCTAGCTTACTACGTTGCTGTTGTGATGGTGCTGTGCTACAAGCTGACACTTCGTATGTGACCCATTTTCACATTGACCACCTTGCCCTAGACCTTCAGAAGGGTCCGTTCAATCTGAAGACCCATGCCCTTCAGTTCTGGACATTTTCTTTTTCTTTTCTTTTCTTCCCTTTAAAAAAAATAATTTTCTGTGTTCTCCTTCTGGAAATTCCTATTGGTCAAACATTTGAATTGGAATCATGGACAGTTCCTCTAATTTTCTTGTTTTTTTTCTTTCTTATTTTTCACCTCTGTGTCTTTTAGGTCTACTGTATGGGATATTTTTTCACTTACTTTTCCAATAATTCTCAAAGGAGTGCTCTGATCCAGTTTTGAGAATAGTCTATAGGGGAACGAGGGCAGGGAAGAGGCTATTGCAGTAACCCAGGTGAGAGATCACAGTGCTGGGGCCGGGGTAGTGTGGAGTTGGTGAAACTTGCTGGGTCCCCTGGCTCCCTACATCCCCTCACACGTATGCATCCATAGCAGCCACGCCAGGGGAAGGCTGCACTATCTCCTTCAACATGTGTTACAACTAATTAGAAATTGTACACTGGGCCGGGCATGGTGGCTCATGCTTGTAATCCCAGCATTTTGGGAGGCCGAGGTGGGCAGATCACAAGGTCCAGAGATCGAGACCATCCTGATCAACATGGTGAAACCCTGTCTCTACTAAAAATACAAAACTTAGCTGGGCATGGTGGCATGCACCTGTAGTCCCAGCTACTTGGGAGACTAAGGCAGGAGAATCAATTGAACCTAGAAGGCAGAGATTGCAGTGAGCTGAAATAGCGCCACTGTATTCCAGCCTGGTGACAGAGCAAGACTCTGTCTCAACAACAAAAAAAGAATTTGTATACTGTGGTTCGAGGATGTCTGATTCTTTGCTCTATACTACAAAGCTGCCAGCACTGTGCCACTTTATAGAATCCTGCTATCAATTTCTGTTTTTTGGCACTGGGATAGTAGCTGTCTGTCAAACCTCTGTGACACTTGTATTTATAATTATAAAATTGCTATTCATTATTTCTCAAACAGTTGTTGGAAAATATCCTCTTTCTTTTCCAAAAGAACTTTCTCAAAAATACAATTCCTAGCACAGTTTTCTTTTTTTTTTTTCCTTTGGTCCAGTTTGGTATATTTTAAGACAGATTTTTAATTTTTTTTGAGATGGAGTCTCACTCTTTTGCTCAGGCTGTAGTGCAGTGGCACAATCTTGGCTCACTGCAACCTCTGCCTCCTGTGTTCAAACGATTCTTCTGCCTCAGCTTCCCTAGTACCTAGGAGTATAGGCAGGTACCACCAGGTCTGGCTAATTTTTGTATTTTTAGTAGAGATGGGATTTCACCATGTTGGCCAAGCTGATTTCGAACTCCTGATCTCAGGTGATCTGCCTCAGTCTCCCAAATTGCTGAGATTACAGGGATGAGCCTCCATGCCCAGCCTTAAGACAGATTTTGATCTTTTCCCAGTAGTTATCCAGTTGTTCAGATCTGGAATATACCTAATCAGCCTCCCTGTTCTAATTTTCCTTTGATCCTTATTTAGCTCATTTTTTAAAAGAAAGTGGCGTATCAGAGTACCTCCTTGAGTACTCCCATTTTTCTTTTAAATGCTTTGATTCTGAAAAACCATATACAGTGATTTCTTTTGTTTCAATAAGTAATGCTCTACCTCGGTGACTGGGATCCAGTAATAGAAAACACTTCAACTTCATTAACTACTTACTCCTACTTCACAGAAGCAGTGAGTATTTTGAAAACTACCTAGAAGCACAAAATTTTGATGTTCCTTGGGAAATAATTTTTTTTTTTTTTTTGAGATGGAGTTTTGCTCTTGTTACCCAGGCTGGAGTGCAAAGGCACGATCTTGGCTCACTGCAACCTCCGCCTCCTGGGTTCAGGCAATTCTCCTGCCTCAGCCTCCCTAGTAGCTGGGATTACAGGCACGCGCCACCATGCCCAGATAAGTTTTTGTATTTTTAGTAGAGACGGGGTTTCACCATGTTGACCAGGATGGTTTTGATCTCTTGACCTCGTGATCCACCCGCCTCGGCCTCCCAAAGTGCTGGGATTACAGGCTTGAGCCACCGCGCCCGGCCGGGAAATAGATTTTAAAGCCTATTTAGTATGCTAAAATTTGTATAAGAGTTCAGGCCTTACAGACTGGGTTGACATTTCAGCCCCACCTTATTTTTACTATGCAGAAGGCTATGTTTTCATCAGTAAAATGGGGGCAAATTGTTTCTTAAGTAGATCACAAACTGTGGGCACAGAGATGGCTTTGTTTCTCTAGCACCTAGTAATATCTCTGGCACACAGTAGGTACTCAATAACATCAAATGAATTCATTTAAAATTAATTCTGTCTCCATAACAGCAGAGGTTCCCATAGTTAAAATTCTAGAATTTGTACTAAAATAGTGGTTCTTAAACTTTAGAGGACATAGGTCCCTTGGAAATTTTATAAAATCAGGCTTCAGGGGTCCTACTCACAGAGGTCCTAATTTGGTTAGTCCAGGCTAGAGTCTGGGAATCTGCATTTTAAGTACATTCTTTGAATGATTTAGGTAAGGGTAGTTCGAGGACCACTCTTTGAGGAATCCAATTTTTAAAAGCATCCTCTTTGATCCACAAAAAATACCAAAGCAAAAGACAATTTTTTTCTTTAAAGAAAACTTTAGGGAAGAGGATTTGGATCAAACATCAGTCAGCATACTGATTTTCATTTAAATAATTTATTCAGTAGTTCAGAATTTCCTGCATTTCTTCATAGACATGTATATTTGTAGCCACCAAAGTAGGGAAAAGCTGCTCCACTGTCTGAAGCAGAGGCAGATGGTTTGATATTTTACTGATGGCATGGAGGGTGCTTTTAAACCAGTTTTCCTACCAGCATTGGGCCAGATGACTGTTTCTCCAACTGAGTACCAGATGAAGATGTTGGCTTCCATTTAAGCACTATCTCACGTGCACACACACACACACACACACACACACACACACACACACACACACATATATATATATATATATATATATATATATAAACAAGACTCCTATGTATTATAATGAGAGGCTTTCAAGACCCAGGGCTAAGGGAAGGGGAATGGTGGGCTAAATCATCAGCCCGTTTAAGTTTCTCTTTCTCTTTGTGTTTTATGAATGTATGGAGTTGAATGTGTACAAGTTAAATGCTTGTATAATGGAATGTCTCTGTGTAGTTACTGGTGTCCTTTTTAACAATGTAAATAACATACATTTTTTTTTCCAGGAGGAAGAAAACAGAACTTAGACCCCAGATGTATACTAACCAAAGAGGACTTTTTATCCAATTTTGACATTTTTAAGAAAGTGAGTTGGTTTTCATTTACCTTGAGTTAGGAAAATGGGCTTTATTACCTGGATAGAACACTAGTTAGTCCTCAGCCTCTTTTTTGAACAGTGATGGAAAAGGAAGGTATAGACCCTATATCATCTGATGATCTATATATGCTGGATCGCTCTCTATCCTATGATGAGCTACATGATTTTATAGCTCCATATGCTCTGATACACTATACCTATTGTCTGTCTATCCTCTGATAAGCTACATCTGTTGCATATCCCTCTTTCCTTTGATGATCTGTATCTGTTGTATGTCTCTCTCTCCTCTGATAACCTATATCTGTTGTATATCTCTCTATCCTGTGATGAGCTATACCTGTTGTATATCTCTCTATATCTGTGTATCCTCTGATAACCTATATCTATTGTATCTCTCTATATCTGTCAATCCTCTGATAACCTGTATCTATTTTATCTATATAACTATCTAGCCTCTGATAACCTATATCTGTTATATCTTTCTCTATTGTCTGATGAGCTGTTGTGTATCTATCTTCTGATAACCTATATCTGTTGAATAACTCTCTATCCTCTGAGGAAGTATACCTGTTGTATATTTCTCTCCTTCAGTAGATTAGAAAGCTGATGTAGAGAAATAAAAATAGTAGAAATAATTATTTAGAATTATATGAATGAAGCGCTTCTTTTTTATTCTAATCACCATGCTAACATTTTCTTTTAGAAGAAGCATGTTTTAAGCTATAAATCCCATCCAGTGGAAGATTGTGGAACTGATAATCCTGCTTTCAACCACATTGAATTGAACTTCCCAGATCAGAGTGGCAAGAGCAATGGGACTCGTTTGTGAAGCAGCTATGATACTAGATGCCCTTAAATGATGTTTCAGTTTTGTGTTTTCTAGGATAATTTAACTAGGTTTTCTTTTTGTGTGTGTGTTGTATCATGAGTGTTTGGGGGATACATTTTTGTTAAAACAAAGTCTGGACTATCTTCACTTACTACACCATTAATTGATGTTACTCTGGAGTTTAGAATTTTGGCATTGGCATTTCCCTGTCTTTCCTTCATTTCAATGAAGCTGTAATTCTGAAAATTATAACTACATAGACACTGAAAGGCTAATACACACATATGAACATGTATTTGATTGTCAAAGGTATATTCTTAAATTTGGGCACTATTGAAAATATTTTCCATGACTTGGTGCTAGCATATAAGTTTGGAAGTTTGCCAAAATCATAATTAATTTTGTAAAGAGCTTTTTTTCCCTCCTATCACATATGCCATTCTTAGGGAGCAATGAGATAACAGGCCTGTGTTGTCTAGATCTTTGCTTTTTATCCCCTTATCAGCCCAGGGCATATACTAACCTGGGAACTAATTCTGTATCAGGAAGGTGGTAATCAATAAGTATTCTGTCTGGGAAAGACTGTGGGCCTAGTGATCAAAGTCTTCTTGGTGCTGTTCATTAATTATTGTGTCTTTTGGCTTGTTTCTTGAATTTCTGGACTTTGGCTACTGATACTGCCTTTCTTAATTTTTATAATTTCTATAAATTTATAGAAATTTATAAAAATTTCTATAATTTTTATCTGCATGCCCAGTTTCTGACTTATCAAGTTGGGTTTTGTTGTGCACTCTACCTGAGCCTGTCTTCATAATTTTCTGTTTATTTCCCTGGGCTTGGTTATGTCTCAAGACACTACATGTGAATCATGCCACCCAAAATCCTGGCTTACCAAGTCCCAGCCTACAAATTATGAACTCCCATGACTTGGTACTAACATATACTTGATGTAGGTACTTACAGACTTGATGATCTAAGAATAGCATATTCTTAAAAATGGTTAAGCTCCATGGAGTTAGATGACTGCACTCAATGCTATTAAGTTGAACTTTTGCATGTCGACTAATGTGCAATCAATTAAACTTAAAGATACATGTGCTTAGAAATTTTTAAATTTTAGTATATTTATCCAGTTAAAGAGCTAAATTACATAGGCAAACACTGCTTTTTTTTTTTAATGTCTGGACCCAATTAAAAAATGCCTTGTTCTATGTTTTAAGATTTTTAAGTGGCAGTCTCAAAGCTGCTTAGCTGTTTATTTTGCTGGGTTCCTAGCTAAGAGTTTGATTATAGGATTTCATCAATAACTTATTTTTTGTACAATTCCCACATTAGATACGGTTTAAAAGTACTTTTAAACTTTTCAATTTTTTTAGAAACATAAGAGAAATAGAACATAGAAATGATTTTATGATTAAATAATTTTGTGCTATTTTCTGATACATGTTATTTAGGTAATCAGGGCCTGTACATTTAGAGGTTGCTTACTGACAATGTTAAGAAACTATTAAAAAAAAAAAATAAAGGCTGGTCGCAGTGGTTCACGCCTGTAATCCCAGCACTTTGGGAGGCCCAGGTGGACCAAACTGGTGAAACCTCATCTCTACTAAATACAAAAATTAGCTGGGCATGGGGGCACGTGCCATAATCCCAGCTACTCAGGAGGCTGAGACAGGTGAATCACTCAAACCTGGGAGGTGGACGTTACAGTGAGACGAGATCACTCCATTGCATTCCAGCCTGGGCAACAAGAGTGAAACTCCATCTCAGAAAAAAAAAAAACAATAATTTTTTAAATGTGGCACATATACACCATGGAATATTATGCAGCAATCAGAAATGATGAGTTCATGTCGTTTGTAGGGACATGGATGAATCCGGAGAACATCATTCTCAGCAAACTGACACAAGAACAGAAAATGAAATACCGCATATTCTCATTCATAGGAGGGTGATGAAAAATGAGAACACATGGACACAGGGAGGGGAGTACTAAACACTGGGGTCTATTGGGGGGGAAAGGGGAGGGCCAGCAGGTGGGGGAGCTGGGGAGGGATAGCCTGGGGAAAAATGATAAATGTGGGTGAAGGGGAGAAAGGAAACAAAACACACTTCCATGTGTGTACCTATGCAACTGTCTTGCACGTTCTGCACATGTACCCCAAAACCTAAAATGCAATAAAAAATTTAAAAAATAAAAAAGGCTGGGCATGGTGGCTCACACTTGTAATCCCTACATTTGAGAGGCTGAGGCAGGAAGATAGCTTGAGGCCAGGAGTTTAAGTGCAGCCTAGGAACATAGTGAGATCTCATCTCTACAAAAAGAAAAAGATTAAAAATTAAAAAAAAAAACTTAGCTAGGCATGTTGGCATATACTTGTAGTCCCAGTTACTAGGGAGGCTAAAATGGGAGAATAGTAATTTCTCCAGTAGTTGTAAAACATGAAAGGCACTCAATACAAATTGGAATATATGCTTGTGGTCATGCGATAAGGGTTAGTGATAAAAAGGGCCTACTTCCATAGGGATGCTTGGAGTCTTAACATCAGCCTGTGGGTAGATGTGTGTAATTCCGAGATTTAGTGTTCGGGAAACTTTGTTGCCTTGTAGTTAGCCATGTCTTCCAATCATCCATTACCAATAATATTAGTAATATTATAATAAGTAAGAGACTCATATCTACCATCACTGAGTTTGTTGTCTAATAAAGAAAGTGGGCAAAATACAACTAGTTACAGTAAAATGTTGTAACTGAACCCAGGTGTGGCTGCCTGCCACTTGAAAACCAAACTAAAGAGAGAAGAGAGTTGGTGGGAGGAAAAGCAGGTTTATTTGAAGACCCAGTAAACCAAGAAGATGGTAGACTGTTGTCCTAAAGTATCATCTTCAATTAGTACCAATTGCAGATTATTTTTCTGTTAAGAGCAGGGGGAAGGAGAGGTGGGTGGGATCAAGAGGTGACTGATAACTGCAGACATCTGAGCACCAACCAGGGCCTAAGGAGGTTGAGAACTTCTTTTTCCTTGGTCAGGTCACAATGCTCCTATAAATCTTTAACAAAACATAGTTGTTTACATACTGACCCTTTAATCCCAGAGTTGGTTTCAAAAACTACCTGATTGTTTCTTTGCATATGATATGGTTTGTATTTGTATTTCCCCACTCAAATATCATGTGGAATTGTAATCCCTCGTGTTGGAGAAGGGGCCTGCTGGAAGTTGATTGCATCATGGAGCGAACTTCCCCCCTTGCTGTTCTTGTGATAATTAGTGAGTTGTCACGATATCTGGTTGTTTAAAAATGTGTAGCACCTTCCCCTTTTGCTCTTTTGCCTCCTGCTTCAGCCATGTAAGACATGCCTCTTTCCTCTTTGCCTTCTGCCATGACTGTAAGTTTCCTGAGGCCTCCCCAAGCCATGCTTCCTGTACAGCCTGCAGAATCACGAGCCAATTAAACCTCTTTGCTTTATAAATTACCCAGTCTCAGTAGGTTCTTACGTTTAATAGCAATGCGAGAACGGACTAATACATCATACGATCTCGGTGCCCTAATATGATCCTAGCTTACATGCAGGAATGGGTAAAGCCTCCTTAAACAAAAATTGAGTTAGATATTTTAGTTCTTTTGCTGTTTCATTGTTACAGTGTGATAAGTATCACAATTGGAGCATTGTAACCTGTGCTAAGTGACATAAGTATCACACTATGAAGTAACAGGAATGTACAAGGGTCCCAATCCAGTCATAGAATACTTTGCTGACCAGATGAGGAATAAGCTGAGATTTGAATGATGTATAGTCATTATATAAGCAAGGAAAGGAAAATAAGAAGTGGTTTAGGCAAAGGGAACCATATGTTCTAAAGCCTAGAGGATGGTGGGATCATGGTGCATAAGAAGAGTATGTAAATAGGGTAGAGTAAATGGTAACATGGGCACCAGCCAGATTGTGGGAAGTCATGCTTGAGGTTGTAGACTTTATTCCTGTGGGAATAAGAAGCCATTTAAGAGTTGTAAGAAGAGACATATGATGTGATCAAATTTGGATTTCCGAAAGCTCTGTTCACAATAACTGTAACATGAAGAATGGATGGGTGGAAGAGAGTACGCCTGAGGATCCGGAGACTAGGAGGCTGTGTTACAGTGTTTATGAGAGAAAATCGTGGCCTAGATTATGATGTTGGTAATGAGGATGAAGAAAGATAAATAGATACACATGAGAGGATTGAATTGACAGGACTTGGTACATTTTTGAAAAGAAAGACATCAGAAATAATTACTTAACATTTTTCTGCTTAAGCATTTGAGTGGCCATGGTGCCATTCATAAGGTAGGTTACCATAGAAAACTTGGTGTAGGGTAGGATGCTCAATTTCAGACCTGTTGGGTTCCAGCAGCAGTTCTCAACACAGGGAAGTTTTTAAAAAGAAAATAAATTAAATCTATGAGTTATTAGTGATACTAAAACAATAAGCAATTTGCAACCCTTCCATTTATGCTTTTCTTCTTTTTCTGCTCCTTCTTTGTCATTGTCTCCATCTCCTTCTCCTTCTACTACTGTTTTATTCATGTTAGGGTTCCATAGACTATTACTAGCTGACTATTTGTGGGAAGGGAGGCTATTTGAGTGGCTTACTAATTTTCTTTTATTAGGTTGGTGCAAAAGTAATTGCCGTTTTTGCCAATATTGCTTTACTGACACATTTTCCAGAAACTTCAAATTGTCTGCTAAATTTTTCAAAACACTTGTTAATCTGAAACTATTAGATTAGCTTATATGACAATTTATCTGGTTAACAAATTTTAATTTGATAGTTCACTCAACATTTTAAAATATTCTTCCATTATCTTTTGGTATCTATTCCAGATGTTGCGATGTTTGCTGTCTGCCTAGTTGTTATCCCTTGGAGATACAGTAGGCTTTGATATATGTGGATAATTGGTTCTATGACTTCCAGCGTAGTCATAATTTGCACATACTCAAGTCCTGTAGTCAGCCCTGCAGAACTCATGTATACAAAAGGTTGACTCTCCATATATACAAGTTTCATCTCCTGCAGATACTTCATTTTTGGTGTATTTTAGATCTGCATGCATTTTTAAAAATCCATGTAAAAGTGGAACCTTCCAGTTCAAACCTGTGTTGTTCCAAGAGGCAACTGTCATCTCTCTTTTCTTTGTGAATGCATTCAAAATTTACTTTTTATTGTGCTTTTCCTCTAGCTTTGCCACAAAGCTACTTTTTCTGCTACCTTTGAGTCTAGGTATGAATTTGTTTTTATTTCATCCTTGGGGCTTCTGTTTCTTCAATCTAAAGAGTTACACCTTTAATATTGAAATTTTTAGGTGTTAGCTCTTTGAATATTTCCCTTTTCCCAATTTTTGCTATTCTGTATCTCTTTAACTCCCATTAGGTGTATGTTGTACCTTTTAAATCCTTTCCTTCATATCTCCTAATTTGGTTCATATTTTCCATCTTTTTGTATTTATGTGATGCATCCTGGGCAATTTTCTCGGATATTTGTGTTCATTACCCCTCCCAGCTGTTTCTAATCTGCTATTAATTTGTCCATGCAGTTTTCCATGTCAGTGACTTAACATTTTTTCATTTCTAGAGTTGGATATGCTTCTTTTTCAAAATTTGCTCTTCTTTTCTTCATAACATTTGATTTTTAAAATCATTATTCACTTCAATAATTTTAACTATATTTATGACCCCTTAATTTCATGATATTATCTGAAGTTGCTGGAGTGCTAGTTTTTTATTTGTTCATTTGCATGCTCTCCATCTTGGTGGTTCCTTTTCTTATGCAGTTGATCATTTTTATCTGGGAGTTTATCTTCAGAAGAGGCTGTTTTTTCTAGTGACAGTTCCTTGGGCTGCAGTAAGTGAAGGAGTCCCTATGTAGAAGTTTTAAATTAGATTTTGCTGTGCCCTAGTTGTTTCAATGGCTTTCAAAACAATGTTACATTATAATCTCAGGTTATAGCTTTTGCTCTTAGGTTCATAATATAAATTTGCATCCTGGACCCATGCATGGCACAGGGCTTACATTTTGATGCCTTAAGTAACTTTGTTTGTTTTCCATCCAAAGAGTTGGCTAGAAGCAAACTTTATCAATACTTCATTGGGCCTTTTGGTATATATTTTTTAATCCCCTTTTAACTGATAAGACAGTTCTTTAAGATGTTAGGCTTTTGGTGATATCTGGAATCAAGTTCTAGCTTCTTTACATTCTGTAGGCAGAAACCTCATTTTTCCTCCCATGACATAAGAACTCAGCGGTTCTACATTTGCACTTATTTCTCTACATCTCCTGGTTTCATTGCTATGCTTTGATTTCCTTTTCAATTCTGGGACTGCAGCTTCTCTTTTATTCTTATACATTTGATTATGCATTAAAATGTTTATTTTGTGACATTTTATCCAGAATTTGAATGGTTCTGTAGCATCCAAAAAAGTCTAGCTGTATCAATGTAGATCACAAATTGCTGGAAGTTCTGTTATGATTCATTTAACTTGTTCAATCCTGAGTTGTGGAGGTGTGAGCCGTTATCCATCACAAATGGCAATTTCAAAGCAACATGCAAAATACAATAAAATAAACAGAACACATGAAAGCTGAAGGACAGTGAGAGATTTTTGTTTTTGCATAATAGTTTTACTGAGACGTAATTAACATGCCATATGACTCACTCATTTATGTGCAACTCAGTTTCTATATTTACAGAGTTGTACAATTATCACCACATTCTTAAAAGTTTTCCCTACCCCAAAAAGAAACCCCATATTCATTTTTTATTCACTCTCCATTTTGTCCCACCCATCTCCTTTAGCCCTAGGCAACCACTAATCTACTTTCTGTCTCTATAGATTTGTCTATTCTGGACATTTCATATACATAACATTGCATACTCTATGGTCTTTTGTGACTGGCTACTTTCATGTAGCATAATGCTTTCAAGGTTCATGCATGTATCATGTATCAGTACATTCATTTTTATGGCCTAATAATAAAATCATGCACCACATAATGACCTTTTGGGCAATGACAGACCTCATATATGACAGTGGTCCTGTAAGATTATAATGCAGTTGAAAAATTCCTCTTGCCTAGTGACATCATAGCCATTATAATGTCATAAAATCATAAAGCAACTCATTACCTTTTCTGTGTTTAGGTACATACATACTTATCATTGTGTTATAGTTGCCTACAGTATTCAGTACAGTAATATGCTATACATGTTTGTATCCTAGGAGCAACAGGCTGTATATCATGTAGCCTAAGTGTGCAGTAGGCTATGCCACCTAGGTTTGTGTAAGAACACTCTATGATGTTCACACAATGATAAAATTACCCAATGATTAAATTCTTAGAATGTATTCCCATTGTTAAATGACACATGACTGTATTCCATTGTATGGCTGTCCCATGTTTTATTTATTCATTAATCAGTTGAAGAATGTTTGTGTTGTTTCCACTTATTGGTTATTAAGAAACATGTTGCTCTGAACATTTGTGAACAAGTTTCTGTGTGAGCATATGCTTTCAGTTCTTTGGGAGATATATTTAGCAGTGGAATGGCTGGGTCATGTGGTAGTTCTATGCTTAACCATTTTGGGAACTGCCAGACTATTTTCCAAAGCACCTGCACCATTTTTACATTCCTACCAGTAGTGTATGAGGTTACAATTTCTCCACATCCTGGACAACACTTATTATCTGTATTTTTTATTACAGACATTCTAACACATGTGAAGTTGTATCTCACTGTGACTTTTATTTGCATTTCCCTGATGGCTAATGATATTGACCATCTTTTCATGTTTATTCACCATTTGTATATCTTCTTTGGAGATATGTCTAATCAAATCCTTTGCCCATTTTTTTAATTGGCTTTTTAAAAAAATTATTTGAGTTGTAAGAGTTCTCAGAAGTCTTATGTTGGAGACTTGCAATTAATATATTTAAGATACAAGCCCCTTAGATACATAATTTGTAAACAATTTTTCCCTTTCTTTGGGTTGAAGAGGTTTTTTTTTTTCTGTTTTTTTGTTTTGTTGTTGTTTTAATTGAAGCTCTCTGAGTTACAGAGAAAAGTCATGTGAGATATAGACAGAAGTAAAATATAATGGGACTTTTGAAGTAGAGAAATATAAAGCCTCCTGTTCACCCATTTAAGTCACTGGTAACATGACATTTCAGTAAATAAGACATATAAAATACAGCGCAATTTGTAATAGGGTCAGTTGCGGAAGTGGACAGAGAGAAAAAGGAAACAGATGAGAAAGATGGAAAGTTAGGAGATAAATATATAGCTTTGCCTTTTGGCTGAAACCAAGCATGACATCATTATATAACACTGGGTGGAAGCCAGGATATCCCAGAAAAGCAAGACTGAAAATAAATGATAGGAGAGACTCAAGGAATGCCTTGTTTTACATGCCTCTGGAGAGGCAAGGGGCTGGCCCCA